CATCTAAAGCTAGTCTGAAAGCTGTACTTTTGCACAATGGGAACACTAAGTTATTGATTCCTGTTTCTCATATGTGAACATGAATGAAACTTATCAGAGCATGGAGATTATACTGGATGTCATCAAATATGATCAGCATAGGAGGAACATATGTGGTGATATAAAAGTTATTGCACTCTTGCTAGGTCTGCAGAGTGGGTATATCAAACATTGTTGCTTTTTGTGTTTCTGGGATAGATGAGATGATAAAAATCATTTCAAAAAGAAGGAATGGCCAGTGAGAGAGAATTACATACCATGGAAACAGAATATCAGGTATCAACCTTTAGTGAATCCTCAAAGTGTGTTTCTGCCCCACTTCATATTAAACTGGGACTCGTGAAGAATTTTGTTAAAGGAATGAACAAATGTGGTAATGGTTCCAGTTATCTGTCTGACAAGTTTCCAAAAATCGAGGAACCTCCTTTCATTTTTAGACCACAGATTTAGGAATTGCTAATGGATGAGGATTTTGAAACAGTATTAATCAGAAAGAACTTGCTACCTGGAAATCATTCAAATTGGTTATCAAAAGTTTTGTAGGAAATCACAGAGATGAAACTATGCTGTGATGATATGCTTCAGAACTACAGGAAAATGGGGTCTAAGATGCACTTCTTACACTCCCATTTAGATTTTATTCCGTATGATCTAAGTGCAGTGAGTGAAGAGCATGTTAAGCACTTCCATCAAAATATTTCTACAATGGAAGAGCAATGGATATGGAATCCTGCAATGATGGGAGATTACAGTTGGTTCTTACAGCCTGAAACTGAGAACCTACACAAAAGGCACAACAAGTCAAGGAAAGAAATAGATAATCAGTTTAGTTTTTTGTTTTTATGAACTTCTTTAACACACAAAATCATAAGATTCTTTCACATTAAAGAAAAGTAATTATTTGGGATGTATCATATCAAATATTTGTATTATATTCCTTAAACATGAAATTTAAGGACAAGGGACAAATTGGTCCATTTGCACTAAGCTAGATTAAACATAATAAAAATGAAAAAGTCAAAGCCAGCCCTTATCATTCAAATATTTATCAAGCCTTCCCTTAAACTCCTTTACATTTACTGCATATACCACATCTGAAGGCAACTCGTTCCAAAGACCAACCACCCTGTTAGAAAAAAACTGTCTTAGCTAAAGATGACACCAACCCTTCCTAGATTTATGACACTGTCCCCTAGTTCAACCATTTTCACCTTTTAGTATGAAAAAAAAGATGATGTATCAATACTATTAATTCTCTTAGTAATCTTAAAAATATAATCAAATCCCCTTTCTTTCTTTCAAGAGAAATCAATTCCAGAAATCTTAACCCGCAGATGAATTTTGCTATATAGATGTTTTATCTAAGTGATCAGTGTACATCCTGTGCCTATTATAGTAATTAATAAATTCTTTCCTTCTAGGAAGTTTTTTAAAATGTTTGACTAATTTATCTTTTGATTGATTGGAGTCCTTCATTTTTCATGGTCTTTTTATATCATGATTTATTTTCTAAATATTAATTATTAGTAGTTATTTTTGTAGCTCTACAGCCTGATTTGCTTAGTATCATATAGAATATGATAAATCAGTATTTTAACAGAAATCAAATATTGTTGCAAGATATAATATTAAACAGAGAACCAGTTATATGAAGTAGAGGAGCTCTTACATTGGCTTTCAGGTTTTTCAGGTCTTTTTTATATATATATGAATAAATTGGTGAATTATCCTGCCTCAGTAAAATTCAGTGATTCACATAGATCTATATATGTATGTCAGTGTATAACAAGAGAAACTTTTCTCTTGCATTTTTCTACTAAATTTGCAAGCTTTCAGCTACATTTTTAACAACTCTGTTTTTGTAAGTAGTTTGTAGTTATTTTATAAAGTAAAGAAAAATCTGATAGTATACTTTTTATTTTTCAAAGATTAATGTGCTCTGTTATTTCAAGATTAATTTAGGGGTTTTAAAAAGATTATGTATCACAATCATATGACTTAGTAAATGTTGACCTTGTTTAGTGACATCACTGGTGTTTTTCATGTGACATTGATGATTTCTTTTGTAATGGAAATGTAAACACAAATATAGAGTTTCAGATGTGCAACCAGAAAATTTATATGATGTTGTCTAATGAATGGCTTAGCAAGTGAATAATTCTGTAATCAACATAGAATACAGTGATAATGTGATCCTCGTAAAGTTTAATTGTTCTTAATTTTAATTTAATTGAGAATACTAAGACAAATGAGTGATGTGTGGATATCAATATGCCTCTAACAGATGGTACATGCAACTCCAACAGAGTATATTTTACTGAAAAAAGCAAAACATTGGATGTACTTTATCTTGTAAAACAACATTCTTGAGTGAAATAATCTTGTGTAACTTTCTAGATTGCTTCAGGATGCTGTGAAATGATATTTTGGGTAAAAAGAATCAACTGTTAGAAACAAAATATGGTGTTAAAGACTATACTTATGGTCTGATCAAAGCAGCAGCATCATGACAAAGAAGTTTAATACCATTTTATGAAATAAGTATATGAAAGTATACGTGTTAATTTGTTCTTTTGTGAGCATGTTGATTTCACATTAAATGTTTAAGTTATTAGCTGATGTATGTAATTCTGATTTCACATACATCTAAGTAGATATTATCTAATAATGAAAGATACTTTTCTGTTACAAGTAAATAGCATAAAGTTGTGCATTCAGTATTCATCCATTTGGATGTTAGCTTTGTGAAAAAATATACATGCTGTTTATAGTCTAAACAAAGGTTATCAAGAATTTTAAGTTTATCACTATTATAAATGGTTGTATTAGTGAAAGTAATTCCATATCATTAATGACACTTTTACTCATTGAAATGGACATGTTTTAAAGTGCTCTTTGACATGAAGCAAAAAACAACAAAACCTACAAAATGAATATAAGAAAAGGAACATGTTAACCTGAAGAGCATTAAATATTTCCTTACTTTTAACAGAATATTTCATTAAACAAACAAACTATGGTTTAAGTGCATTAATATTGCTAACAGGTGCCAAGTTAATACCAAGGGTACTAAAGTAATAGAATCCCAGTTTCTTCATCTTTAACTGTAGAAAAGTATAAGAAAAATGGAAAAAGTGGATAAAAAAATATATATTAATATTTATTGCTTTAAAAAATACACATCCTAATTTTGAAATTACCATATGAGACTTAGAGTGTGAAATCACAGGCATTTAATCTTCTTTTGCTATAAACATAAAAGTTGTATCACTCTGCCCAGAACTGCATGAATATTGTAAGAAACAGTAGAAATATCAACTAGAATAGACATAGTTTGAGAGGAGATAATTAAAACTAGCTAAACATGCAAAACACTGTCACATTTCAGATTTAGTATTATTTTCATACTTATGCTGTTTGGAAATAGATCTTATAAGTCATTAGAAAAATAAATTTGTAATGTTCTGTTTTTTTTTTTTTACTTTTATCAAATTCAAAACTATGTTGCTTTGCTTGTTACAGTAAGTAACAGTTTTTAGAAAACTGCTTATATAAATATAACACACTTTTTAAGAATCTTGATAAACATAAATATAGTAACTTACTGTATAGACAACAAGGGACCATTTGGTCTTTGAAGGATATTGTTGTACATTTGATCTTGAGAAAAACAGAGACAATGTTTCTATAACAAATCTGTGCTATTTTTCTTGATAGAAATGAATCTGACCAAAAATGTGAAAACTGCTTTCACAATCCATAATCCCTGCAGCTGACAAATTAGAAGCATCTAGAGTATACATTTCCAAAATTTCTCAGCACAAGAACCTCCCCAAATTGTATGCATCCTGAATAAACCCTCCTAGCCAATGAATCTGTAGCTACTGAGTTCCCTATCAGAAGTATGTCTTTTATGTATTTGTTATAGCTTCCTTGACACTATCCTGCAGCCCTCCAGGGGTTTAGGGACCCAAATTTGAGAATCCCTGATCTAGAGGCACCTCTACTTCATGCGACAGTTGTAGAGCAGTACCACATACAAAATGTAATGATGAACACAGTACAACTATCATATAATATAGTTGATACTGTTTTTGATCAAGTCTTGCTACAGAAAGTAATACAGAGTTGAACTAGTACAGGACCTTGTCTGGATTCACTATATTTTGATTTATAACTTTAGAAAACATTTGTGAGCAAGAGTGAAATGTATGGTATCTGCATACCATAATTACGAAACATTATACTCGTTCTCATCTCACTGAGCCACTTGTTCAAGCAATTTGCTAGGGTTGTATTCTTGAATTGAATTTATACTAAAACAATAAAGACTAAACAGTATCTGAATACTAATAGTTTGACATTAGCTGTTTCACAATGTTAGTAAAATTTGGTATTACATTTAATTGTACTTATCATTTTAAAATGTCTTCATATTTTGACAGTTTGAAAAGTTATTTGTTTTATTGTGTACATTACATTACAAGCTTTATAAAATTTATATTTATATTAAATTATTGTTACTTTTACAGAAACATGTATTGTTAATAGTATAGGAGATGCCTGTAGAACAAATCAAATATTCTTCAGTGTAAGGGAAGGAAGAATGGTAAGTTTAAAGTTGTAGTACTTATAGTTTTTTAAAGTGAAATCTTTGTTTCTGAAAATATTATTGATCTATCGGATAACTTTACTAGGTTATATTATAATATCCAGTATGAATTATATTTATAATATTTATTCATAAACTTAACAGTTTCTGGAAACTTTTTCTTATGAAAAATGTTTTTAGGGATTTCTAATAAAAAATATTTCTATTCAGTCTTAATTTTTCATTTTAAGTAATTAATGCAGAGTGGATAATTACTGTTTCCAGATTAATTATATTATTTTGGTGTAGGTTATTAGTCACTGTAGAAGTGTAATATAAAATGTTAGATCTGACTGAGTTTTACTAATCACACTCAGTTTTCATAAAATCCAGAATGAAAATGACCAAATCAGAAAGTAAAATTTGTTCTCCAAAGTGATAATAATTTCACAATAATTAAATTGTAGATTTTGACAATGAATATGATATATATATAATGTTTATGGATCAGTATGTAAACAAATACTTTTGCACTGTACCTCATCACACTTGTCTTCAATCCTTTTCATGAATCTTTTAAGAAAATTCTTTATCCACAACTTCTTCAACAGCCTTCTGCATATTTTTGTCAGTTGCTTTGATGCTTAATCCTTATTCTTTGAGCTACTTGTTTTCTTGTCTTAATTCATCCCGATATTTTTTGTTCATGTCTGCACTCAGTTCTGTCTCATTCTACCAGAACGTTTTTGAATTTCTGGTAAATTTTTGTTTTTGTTCTGCTATTTTTCTGTTCATGCCCCTACATTTCTGTTTTCCACCTATACATATCCAGTCGTTTTCTATATTATTGGTTACATTCTTCTGGTTGTTTTTCTGATGGTTATGGAATTTTCATGACTATGTTGAAAGATCTCCAAAATGTTTTCAGTTTCTTCAGGTGTTTCACTGGTGATGTAATTCTGAGATGAAAGCTGTTTTGTTCTTAAATTTGAGAAGAAATTCTCATTTGTAAATGTTATTTTTAAAAGTTATTTTTAAATCAGAATATATACAAGTGATTGAATATACAAATATATAATATAAAATAATATCCTGAAGCCTTGACATGGACTAATCTATATTTCAGGTTCCACAGTTGACACAACCAAGGGGGCCAGCTATTATTGGAATTGAACCTGGAGTTCAAAACTTACCCAGATGGTAATAGTTTCTAACTCTGAGCTCTGTATTTTTTGTTATCTCAAAAACTGATTAATAATTCTACATTTAGTTACACACATGTGTAAGAAAGATTATAAGAATAAGAGATTGCTTAACCCTTTCCCTCCAGGTATCCTTTACTGCACATGACACAAAGTTTTAGTGTCTTAAATTCAAAATTTTGTTTAACTACTTTTGGTTTATGCTATACAAATTAGAATAGCACAAAATATTAGCGAATAGTCCATATTTTAATAGTATATAAGTTTTAAGTTCTTAATTCTACAAGGCAATATTGAAAAATATCCTGAATTTTCACTAGTGTGACCCACACGACACATTTTTTCTTAGTATGTCATCATCCCTATTTTATCCACTACCCCTTGAAAAAGTATGAAATTAAACTTAAATTACTCTTTATAAAATCGTTATTGCTCGGACAAACCATAATGTTTATAGTGTTCAATTTTGTTTGATTACAGAGCTATCGAATAGAAAATCAGATCCCTCCTGCCACACCCACCTGTCACATGCTCTCTTTCACAATTCATTGATTGTTCTCTCTTATGTTTTATTATATATTACCAATAACCAATTGAATATCAAGTTTTTCATCTATCAAATGACATATTGTATAACATTATGTTCTGAACAATTAGATGTTAATTTCAGTCCGAATACCAACATCGTTTCCATGGGAAAGATAACGATTAGCTCGGATGAACTAGTAATGGCTCTTATGGCATAGTTAGAAAGCCAGAAAAATTTTGAGAGGTAAGAGAATTTGTCTGCATTATGCAAGTTATTAGTCTATATTCTTTGGTGCATTATTTAATTAAATTCAAATTATTAAATGCATTACTGTTTGTACTATAAAAAGTTAGGGTTAACTCTCTTTGAAACCCGACAGCAAGAAATAAGAAGATTGGTTAAGCATTTTATTTTTTGTTTTTTTCATATTTACTATTTATTTATTATTAGAAAAGTAACTAAAATCTAAAAATACGGATCTTTTTAAGTTATTTAAGAATAGAATAGGTAAAATAACTAATAATAATATAATTCAAATGGTTCCTAAAATCTGAAAATATGGATCTTTTTAAGTTATTTAAGAATAGAATGGTAAAATAAGTAATAATAATAATATAATTAAAATGGTTCCTGACGTACGCACGCGAGCAGATCGTAGTAGTTCATGGGTAATGTAGTTCGATAGAAAAACATGACCTGCACATTCTCAGAGTGATTTACAACTTATAATGATGCAGATAGTAGTTAGACACAAATCAAAGGGCAATAAAACAATAAAATTTAATTATAAGTAGATGTATACTGTTACGAACTTAGAGCTACTTAGAATAAATGAATGTAGTTTCATGTTACAATTTGAAGTCATTCTAGAAAGAAAAAAAAGGGTAATTTAGGTTTATTTTGATTTTTTTTGGTGGTTACGAGGTCGGTCAAATTGACCAATCCCGTTTTGAGATAGAGTACAGAAAATAACAGATAAACTATAAAGTTTTACTGAAAAAAACTTTTGAAATGCATTTAGGGGGTTTTAGGGGTTACACAAAGGAAATTTGAGATTTTTGAGATGAGGAAAAGTATTTTTAATTTTAACATAAAAATTACTTTGCACATGGACTATTCAAAACAAATACTCAATATATTCATGGACAAATCTTTATCTTATTTTATTAAAAATACTTCACTTAAAAATATAATTTTTTTGTATATGAAAGACTTGTAATATCAATTGAAAGACTGTCAAATTTCATGAAGATATACCCACTATATTGAGATTTATAAATATTAAATCTATAAAGATTTTAAATGAGTACAAAATGATCACGTGGTCAGTCAAATTAACCGAGCCTGAATTGAAAGAGTTAAGCATTTGTTATTATAATCATTTAGCCCCCCCTTTGTTTGCATCATATGTTTTGTGTATCATATAAAAATGATGTTACATGGACCTTCTTAAATTTTCTGGTGCTGTTTTGTGTTGTAATAGCTATCACATTATCACTGTAGGAACTACTGTGTTCACTAAACTTTTGCTGCATGAATTTTATGATTGATGAAAAAATAAAAAGCTTTCAAGGAGTATTATAAGTATTTTACATAGTTGAAAAACAACAACAATTAATACAAAAATGTTTTAACTATTAACCAGATATATCAGTTTCAAATTTTAGTTCATGTTTCCCTCAAGCATTGGCCTGTGACCTGGTGGTTAGGATGCTCGACTTGCAATCTAAGGGTTGTGGGTTCGAGGGTGTTATAATGTGATGGTCAATCCCACTATTCATTGGTAAAAGAGTAGCCCAAAAGTTAGCAGTGAGCAGTATTAACTAGCTGCCTTCCCTCTAGTGTGGCGGACTTACAACGCTAGAAACCGGGTTTCGATACCCATGGTGGGCAGAGCACAGATAGCCCATTGTGTAACTTTGTGCATAATTACAAATAATAAACCAAATAAACCCTCTAGTGTGATATTGCTAAATTAGGAAAAGCTAGTGCAGATAGCTATCTTGCAGCTTTGCACCAAATTCAAACCAAACCAAACACTACCTTATTTTTTGCTTTTGTATGAGTATTTCATTTCTCAGAGAATCACTACCTACCCCACAAATAAAATTTTTTTTGGAGGAGGGAGTAGCACTCATGGCCTAGTGGTTAATGTGCCAGATTGTAAATATGAAGATCTGTGGTTCTTCTCCTTTTCATGGTTTCAGCAATTTTGAAGTGTTAAGAAAGCCACTCCTAGCATCTTTTATTTTGAAATATTTTCTATTTGAGAAAAAAATTAATCAAACTAAAAAAATTAATATGAATATAATCAAGTTTCATCTTTTAGAAAAAAAATTATTAAGTTCAAAATTATGAGCAATTTCTCTATATTTCTCAAAAAGCTGTGACCTGTTTGACCATAGACATTTTTAAAAACATTACACTGCTGCACTGTCTAATACTAAAAAAATTTAGGCTGCTTTCCTTAAAATTTGTCACAACATTAAATTGTCAGGGAAAAAAAAAATTAAATTTTTACCTGCTTAAGTTTCACAGTCACAAATTAAAACTAAAATATTACAACTTCCGCCAGTTAAAAACTCTAACACTGAATACAACATGCTATCAATATTGTCATAGCTTTCTAGTTTAATTTAGTATATAAAATTCATACTTGTGGGGCAAAATATGCATGGACTAGCAAACTTGTGGGCCTATGGCCCACATTTACAGGGCCTCAATAATGCAAATGTAATGCTTGAGCTACTTTTTTTTGCACTTTTTCAGTTTAATGATCATTGCTTTATAACGAAATTTTAATTTCTTTAACTAAGTTATGAACGGTAATTAGTAGGCCTATTTATTTAGGTACTCTAATGTAAATCAGTGCCAAATTTGTGGTCTGCTTTCAAGGAATACTCATAGAAGTGTTTTTGCAAGGGGTTTGGTGAAAAGTTTTACTTTGTGTAAACCTTGTGGTTGAGAGGATTCATTTGGCACCATTTAGAAATTGGTGAGTATAGAAATTAAGAGAAGAGGTTTTGAGAAATCCCCAGGTTCTCCAAAGGGTGGGGTGAAAATATTTACTTTTCTGAAAACCTCTGGGCTGAGACAATGTATTTGGGACCATTTAGAAGTCAGTGCATCCAGCAGTTTAAGAAAAGTTACGTGACACACAGACACTGAAGCTTATATAGATGATGAATTCCAGTTTATCTTGTTCTGTTTGAAACTTGGATAAAATAATATACTTTTTCACAAATTTGCTACTTTGATAAAACACGATCATAATTTTCTATTACACTAATGCAGCTATCCTTTAACTTGGCTAGAAACTGTTTAACACAAAAAACACTTTCTGCCACTGACAAATTTAACTAACTCTTTAATAATTATAATGTACTTAGAATATATTGTTGCATTTTTGTCTACATCTTTCCTGAATCTTTGAAACTTCACATTCCCATTAGATTGCATTGAGTATATAACTCTGTAGCCAAATATACAAATATCTAAATATTTAAAAGCATAGTTCATAATGCTGTTTTAATGCAATTGTTGTTGAAATTATGGCTTTTCATTAGATTGAAAACAACTAAATATGAAAATTTAGTTTCAACAAATCTGTACAAAAATCTTTCCCATTCTGAAAATAAGATATTTACATAGGCTTATTTGTAAATATTAATTGAAAACTAAGGTATTACTTTCATTTTGTTCACATTTTATCTTTTGTATCTAAATATTTCAATTTACAATTCATGTAATTTTCAATGTTTTTTGAAAATGTTAAATGCTTATTTATTATGTAGATTTATAGTGGTTATTCATAAATGAATGACACTAATGAGTACTACAGTTTACAGCCAAAGCTGTAATGCTGAATTTTACTTAAAATTAGAACTTGTGAAATAATAAAAATCATCCACTCCTGGAGTAAAGTTTTTATTTTAATATTTTAAGCAAGTATATCAACTGTAGATCTCACTCCTTAGAGCAAAAGTCCAAAAAAGCTCAAGTGCTTTACATTTAAAGATAAAGTTTTCTCTGCATGAACCTTAGTAATGCTTTTAGATTGGGCCTAAATAATCCCACACATTTTTTTGCCTTTACATTTCATTACCATAACATGTTTATGATCCAAGTCGATCAAACAGATGCTTTCAGTAATAATCACTGTTGCATTCAATCTTCTACCATGACTAAGATCATCAACCAATAGATTGTTTCACTACAGAAATACTGTGGTTGATGTAAAAACAGCAAATTTCATTCCTTTCTGTAATGTAGACAACTGTCTTACAACCATAATAAATGTACTGTTGCAAATAACCTTACATTTACAAATATGCAACCACAAATTCAGAAAATAAATTTGTACCAACCCAAATCATTTTTGAAGTAATCATTTAGGCTGGCAACTGGTTCTTTACAAAAATCACTTCTTCCATTATTACAAAAAAAGAAAAGAAATCACATTTTGTACTTTGGAGCTTTGGGTGTATTAGAAGAGTAACGTTCATTGATTATAGAAGTCCAAGATTTGGCAGTGGGTGCTCTTGACCAGCTGTCTTTCCTCTAGTCTCTCTATTCAAAGTTAGGATGGCTGGTGCAGATAACCTTGTGTAGCCTTGTGCAAATATACAAAAGCAATTTTTGGATATGATATACTGATTGTTTCTTTTCCTAAAACATGCAGATTATGCTTGATAGCATTGTATAGGTCAACAGTTGAAAATGTTACATGATAATGACTATTACAAAAAATCTCTTCCGTACTTAGCTATAAAATCATGCTTTGATTTATCATTTTTCTTTCCTTATCAGAGGTTAGTCTTTTGGTCTCAACTATCTGAACCAATGGGCTTATTTATCTGTCACTTTTGAAATAAGATTATATAGAGAATTATAGAGAAATTTTTATAGCATACTAGACCACTGTGACCCGTTGGGTCAACCACTATTCAGAGGTTATGAAGAATTCAAGCTAATTTCAATATTGCACCAAAATGAAGGTTTATTGTGAGATAATTTAATTAAATATTTTAATCTATTTGTGTTATTCATAATTCAAGAAAACATATTGGATTGTTGATCGGGAGTAAAAGGAAAGACCATTTCATTTTTCCAAAAAGTGAAGTAAGAAGTTTCGTAAAGAGCGCGAACGGTAGTGTAAATGATTTTTTGACTGAGCAAAT